ACTCCAGAAAGAAATAATTTATCCTAACCTTTCATAAACCACATGGAAACTGTCCCCAGAAAGGAAACAAACTTTAATCAGGCCATCCTAGACAAAATAAAGTAGCTAGGATTTTTAGTTTACTAACACTCAGCAATGAAACAATCTAAGTCATAGTGAAATTACCGGCTTAAATATCTGCCCAACTAAAATGCTGCGGATAAATAAATCTGTTTTATTACTTACCATATCCAGCTTTAGATCAAAATGCTCCTATTTGGTTTACTGGCTTTCTGACTTTCTTTCTGCTGTAAAAATGTGGCTTGATAATTCAGAGAAGAGACAAGACAGACTTAGCTACATCAAAACAACTTATTCCACAGCAAACAAAGCAGAGCAGATTTCAAATTACCTAAGTCCCAGTAAAAGAGCCAGATATCTTTTCCATGTTAAGAATACAAAGCTGAACCTTAGAAAGATATTGTGGAGCACTGGGTTTTTATTGTGTACAGATCCTCAGGTTATCAAAACACAGCTTTGAAGACGCTTGAAAGCCGCAGGCATATAAGGGCCATGCGACAGATCATTACATAGATACAGAGCAGTTGTTACATTTTTGGAGGCTATTCTTCAAATCATGTATAGTCTCTGAGAATATACAATCGCATCCAAGATAAACAAAATGAAGCAGACTGTTCTAGACAGAAGAAAGAAACATGTGGGAGATATAGGTCACGGGGCTACTTAGTTTATTATGGTGTCTGTTATTATATCCAGAACCCGACATTTCAGAGCAAGGTGCAAGAAACCTCTTAAATCATAGGGAGCTGGAGATTTCACTTGGATCCTACACTACAAAATTTAAGATCTCATCCAAAAGTTCTTATATAATCCATATTTAGGAAGCCTTAGAATTGAGATAATTTTTTTTCCTATACAAATGAAGAAATGGTCCTTGAACACGAAATTACACTTTTGTGGATTTTCTTCCCCCCAAACTGATTAAATGAACGAGAGGCACTGTAATGATTCAGAAAAGCGCAGATTGTTTTTCGTTGTCTTAATCCTGTTTTGTCCATTTGAACATCAGAACTTGTCATGGAAACTGTGCATGAATCTTATGTGTGGAAGCTATTTAGCTACACAGTAAGTTGAATTCTTTTAAGCTATGAATCAAATATCTGTCCTGTTACTTCAAGCCTAACCAGATTCTGAGTCTTGACAAGAGTTGAAGGTGCACTGGTTTCCATTCCATTGTGCTTCATGAGAGTCTAGCAGTGGATGGCATGGGAACAGCTTTGATGAAGCTTGGGAAACTATTGGGAGGTTTTTATGTGCCTGAGAATATCTGATGAGAAATAGATTTAAAGGGGAAACCTAAACATAATACAGTGATCTTAAGTTAAACCATCTGGAAGCTTATTCCTCCTGGCTTCCCTATTCCCTAGGAAATAAGGAAAGTGCTGGGGTCACCATCCCTGGAAGTGTTCACACACTGTGTAGACGAGGCCCTCAGTGCCAGGGGTTAGTGGTGGCCTTGGCAGTGCTGGGGTAAGGATTGGACTTGATGATCTTAAAGGTATTTTCCAACCTGGTTGATTCTATGATTTCTTGGCATGCTTTGGCTACATTATGTGAATGTTAGAGCTCTAGACATCAACAGAGAGGGACTCCTGTGATGTACTGTGATATACTTCATACAATAACTATGATAATCAATATGTCTCTTAATTTTTATGTCTCCTGCCGTGCTCCCTCTGGCATCAAACATACAAAGTCAAATGAAAAATAGTTAATGAGAGATTACTGTGTCCTATTCGAGTTAAAATATTAAAGGCATTTCTTTCTGAAAATGATTCTTAGCAATTACTTAAAATTATATGACCAACCTTACTCCACAGCTTTTGGAGAATTGCTTCCAGTGGTCCCTTCTAAGTATTGTAAGCCATGAAATACACAGGGCTTTTCTGAACCGAAACCTTTGTTCATGCTTCTGTCACACCATTTACCCCTGTTGCACCTCCATAGTTAATTACTTTTGAGGACTTTCTCATCACAGCATGAACCAAGCATGACTTTATCTGGTGACAGGATAATCTCATTACAGATGATGATCTTGTTAATGAATATCCCCAAGACAGAGCAATCTCATTATTAGCCCCCTCAGGATTTGTCACCTAAGAGCCAAGGTATGATTAGATTCTAGCTGCACATCCTCCTCCCAGATCCTAAATGTCCCAACACCTTGAGGCTGAGGTAGCATTCCCCAAAGGCACATGTACCACTGGACATACTTGATTAGGATTTTGTCCCTAAGTACTTCTGGACATACTTCTCAGGTGAACAATCAAGACAGTTCAAGTGCCATAGCACTTGCAGGGCTCATCTGTCTGTTGTTCTGTAGAACACACACAGTACAGTAGCATCAAGGACAACAGAAGCAGTGTGGTTTTACCATACTGACAGTGGCCTCAGGGCAGTACAAGGAAGAAAAGTGTGTTACCTGTCTCCTCAGTAGTGCCCTCTCCACTCTGCGTGGTGTCCCATCTAAAGTTACAGATCTGCTGGTCAGTGGTCAGGCGTTGATACCACTGGTGTCTGTTTCCCTGCATAATATGTCCCTGAAGAACACTGAAAATGATTACCATGAGAAACATCCAGCTAGTTAAAAATCAACCCCATTCTTATTTTCCCTTGTATTTTCTGGAAGGTCGGGGGGGGGGGGGTGGAACAGTGCTGAAGTCTGGTACAATATAGACTGGTATATATATATATATAGACTGGTACAATATAGACTGCTGAAGTCTGGTACAATATGGACATCAATGAGCTGTTGAACTGGCTCAGTGGCTTGTGAAACCTCAGCTGTGAGAATGAGCAGGGGACTGGAGCACCTCCTATATGAAGATTGGCTGATAAAGTCGGGGCTGTTCAGCCTGGAGAAGAGAAGGCTGCGTGGAGACCTCATAGCAGCCTTCCAGTATCTGAAGGGGGCCTATAGGGATGCTGGGGAGCGACTCCTCATTAGGGACTGTAGTGATAGGACAAGGGGTAATGGGTCAAAACTTAAACAGGGTAAGTTTAGATTGGATATAAGGAGGAAATTCTTTCCTGTTAGGCTGGTGAGGCACTGGAATGGGTTGTCCAGGGAGGTTGTGAATGCTCCATCCCTGGCAGTGTTCAAGGCCAGGTTGCAGGAGGCCTTGGGTGATATGGTTTAGAGCAAGGTGTCCCTGCCCATGGGCAGGGGGGTTGGAACTTGATGATCTTAAGGCCCTTTCCAACCCTAACTATTCTATGATTCTATGATTCTAAGAGTTCAGTCCTAGAAATCCAATAACAACATAGAAATTGTTTTACAGAAAACAAACACATTAATTTGAGATAAATGTATTTAACTCAACTGCTTTATTAAACTAAATGGGTTAGAATATTTACTTTTCTGGAAGTATTGTTGCTGCTACTGGTTTTTTAACATGTAGTGCTGTGTTTGTACATGGTGCTTTACAGACACATAGAAAGGTGTGATTTTTACCAAATACAATGATAAAAGAGAGGGAAAAGCAATGGTTATTAATGTGAGAGTTACAGAGATGTTGATTTTCAAAATGATCCATATTACAACGCAGCCAATATTTCCTCTTGCTCCTACAGAGTTAACAAAACCCATGCTAGATGAGAGATTGGCAATGCAGAAAAGCAGTACATTTTCTTAATTAATCTAGTGCATAGCAGGAACCTGAGCACTAAATCCCACCCATTTGATTTCATTAAATCTACTATAAAGGTTAAGCTGCACTTTAGCATTGGCTCTAGACAACCTCACTCAGCAGAGGGAGGTCAAGGGATCTTATTCAAGGAGGTGCAGCTTAGTAAATGACTGTTTATGAGGGAAGGCATGATAAATTGTTCTGATGAGAAAGCTGGACAGTGGGCACGCTAAACAGTAAATGTGGTCTTATTTTACTTGCAGTTTTACTGAGATGTATGAATCTATGATTCTATACTTTGAAGAGTTCACAGAGAATTATTCAAAGCTAAATCTCAATTTCAAGCCCCAAGCAATGCTGCTGCCACTGGGAACTCAAATCCCATCCTCAGGTCACTTGGAAACAGCATCAGGGCTTATGTCAGAGCAGCTGGAGCAAGTTTAGGGACCAAACTATGCATGGCCTAATCTGCCTATAAAAGAGGGTGAGTGGGATCTAAAGCACTTGGTGGAGAGTTGTATAGCTTGGTAGTGGTGAGCTATACAAGCAAGAGCATGAACACTGGTCATCCTCTGGCAGCGGTGGGTAAGGAGAGAAAGAGGAAAGAAAAAGCTGAAGTGACCATAGCGTTTTCTCTGTTCCCCTCCTGCCATGAAGGAGTTTCCTCTACATGCCATACACTGTCTCCATTGTGACTGGAGGCCCACTGAATCACTGTCTGCTCCCCAATGTATCCCCTGGTAAAGCAAAACTATGTTGTGCTTTGTACTGGTTTAGAAAGAAAAAAAGTTATAATTTTAGGTTGAAAAAAGTCCTATGTCCCACTTAGGTTTTTTGTTTCAATATTGTGATCCTGCCTCACACAGAAAGTTGTGAGTGGGTGACCAAATATCCTTCAGAGGTCCCTTCAAACCTGAACTATTCTATGGTTCTGTAAAATGATGTGTTGAGCTTTATACCTAAGTTTTTATGACTGATTATTGCCATTGCTCCTGTGAACTGAGCTGTCAGATGCGTAGGTTATGTAAAACTGTTCTTTCAACTTCAGGGAACAGTTGGTAGGGCTCAGTCCCCATGTGTTCAGTCTGAGCTTGCAGGTTCCTTTGAGGAACCAGGATCTCATGTGGCAATTCGGAAACATTGCTTTAGACACAGAGGCTACAGCTTTAGTGTTACTGCAAGCTTCTAAAAACTGTTGTGGGCAATCCTAACAGAAGCAGGTAAACTGCCATAATTAGGAAATTAGGTTTTCAGCTGCATTAATGTTATGCAAATGATACTATGTATGTTGTGCTTGTTTTCTTTCCACAGCTTAATGTCTGGGCTAGCAGCCCTGGATGCCAAGACTTCCAGTCGGTTAGGCATCATAACCGTCACTTACTACCTGTGGACAACATTTGTGGCTGTGATTGTGGGAATAATTATGGTCTCCATTATTCATCCTGGTGGAGCAGCACAGAAGGAGAGCACTGAAGAGGGCGGAAAGCCCATCATGAGCTCTGCAGATGCACTGCTTGACTTAATCCGGTAACTGCATTCATTCTTTCTGCTTTCAGAAGGTAGCATTTTGTACAGACCTGTATGAGGAACTGTGGCCTGAGGATAAATTCTGAACCTAAGGATGCACAGTTTGCTAAAATTGAAAAAAAGTGAATTTCAGAAGATTATTTTCAAGTTATCAGACGTTTATGCTGGCTGTTTCTAGTAAAATTTAAACGAATGGCCACCAAATGTATCAAAAGTACTCACAACATTGGGGTCAGGGTTTTTTTACCCCTGCAGAATTACATGGAGCCTGCGTACCTCACCATCAAATCTAATATTAAGGTCAAGAGATTATTAAAGTGTAATGCTAATTCGAATAAGGGCAGACAGTTGTAATAGGCAAAACCATATATATAAGGGCTGAAATCCACATTTTTCAGGAAATACGCAAAAATGCTGTTACAGCTGCTCATAGCAGCTCTCAGATAAAGGACACAGTCTACTGTTATGCTTTTTTTTTGCTATATTATTTGTTCTGCTCTGTGGCTTTTCCTTGTTTATTTTACTTTATTTGGCAGAAGGCAAGGTTGTTCTTTTAGACCAGCATTAGAACACTGACGGTGTTTTGATAGCCGTGCCTGAGTATTCCTCTTTGTCTCAACATTTCAAGTGCTAATAGGATTACTTTTCTGACTGAATGTAGTATGTGCCTCAGATTTGTTTTGCTCATGCAGAAAGACCAAGTTTTGCCTTTGGTTGGTAGTACCTCAAGTTGGTGATCTCATACAATATTGGTGTTTGATGTATTAAAATACATTGCATAATTTGCCTTCCAAAACCCCAAATTCCTGACACTGACAGTGTCAGCACACAAAGTACTTTGAGTTCCTGGGACCTCAGTTCAGAAGGAACTGGGTTGGAAAGCTTATAAAACTCTCTTTTTCCTCCTCCTTAAGTTGCACTTATCCAGGCCATCTGAAACCTGCATCATTTTCTGTTTTGTCAGTGTCTTACTGAGAATGGGCCGCATGATGTTAGTCATGGAGCAGCAGCTGAGAGTGCTCCCTTTTGTAGCGTTCCACAAAATCACCATCTTCCTCTGCAATGAAAAGATGCCCACTTCATGGCATCTGTATCTCCCCAGTGACTTTGCCATGGTGTATGTGCAGTGGAATTAATGTATATGTGTTTGTGACATAATGTGAAATCACATTATTCTGGTTTTGCTGCATAAAGGACTATAATTCCTACAGCAAGAGGAAGAAATTGAGCAAGTTATTGGAGCTTGGAATCCCTTAGTACAACAGAGTAGCATGAGGAGTAAAAGGGAGTATAAGAAAACTATAATCTTAATTATTATCTTCATAATAATGAAGTGGCAGTGCCTGGAAACCCTTTAAGAAAAGCTGAGCTGTTTCTAAGGCCTCAGACAAATAAAGGCACAGTGGGACATACGGTGCAATGTTACATACAAACTCTGGAAAAAGTCTCCCTCACCATAGGTTCCCATTCCCTTCCTTACACCAGCTCTGTTGCTTTTTGAGACCTGGAGTAAGCTAGTTCATGGAGATGAGTCAGATGAAAAGTAATTTGGGCATGCAAAACCTGAATTCAGGTCTATAGTATGAAGTTTGCATAAAACAGCCAAATGTCTGTATGACTGGAACCTGATTGCTGAGTTAGTATCTCCTCTCTTGACCTCTCTCTGGCTAGTCCCTGTACACCACAGATTTAATGGTGAGACTTGGGAACACTTTATCCTGCTGAGCCTCATTGCAGGTAAAATACTATGTCCTGACCTACACATTTTCAAGTATCATCTACAATATCATCTCCTGCAAACACTTACCTGAGCAAATTATAGCAGTTTACATGAATATTTCAGGTATGCATGTTTCCAGGTGTGCTTTCAGCCTGCAAAACCTTAAAGTCTTCTCTGGTTTGGGCAGGTGTCAACAATGACAAGCCGACAAGCTGCTCTCATTACCCAAGCTTTAAAAGAGAGACTAAAACTGACTCTCCTTTTGCTGTGCTCAGCAGCAGTCACAGCTGTGCAATCTTTCTGCCTCGAGTGCACAGACTGATGGTTTTTATTCCTCCACTACAGAAATAACCACATTTACTAAATAAATAAATAAGAATAACACAACTGTGGGGAATGGGCTTTCAGCCTAGGCAAACACTACGGGTGAAATCCTGGCTCTGCTGAAGTCAATTGCAGAACTCCTAAATATCTGTGTGGAAGTCTGGATTAAATGTAATGATGTATCTGCTGGTTTGAGCTAGAAAAGCTGATCCTTTAGCTCAATGATAAATCACTTCCATTCACAGCTGGAGACCATCTTTTTCAGCCCAGATTGGCTTATCTTCTCAATTCATTAATTTCCTCTCAATTTATCAATTGCATGTGTGCACAGTTTACACAGGAAACATCTGGTGTTCTGCACATGAAGAATGCTAAATGCACAAGTGGAGAGATGATATATGTGACACAACTGAGGGGTTTACTTCAAACGTGTGAATCTTGGCATGGTGACACATATTCACCCTCACTGATTTCAGATTTGCAGCCACTTTGTAATGATGAAATACCTTGCTATTTCTTGTGATGTTATATATGCATAGTCATGTCTGGAATTTTTGGCAGGGAGGATGTTGCTAGAAATTGAATTTCTTGAATTTTAGGTAAAGGATTTTGCTGTTAGAAGTGGTTTTAATCAGAAATTAAAGAGTTGACTGAATAAAAGAAACCAAGAACTACTGCAGAGCCTCATGGTCATCCCAACCACCTGCAACATTAATCAATAATCACATTATCATTCTGCATTATTGTCCAGATGGTGCTTCCCCTGTTTATTTGTCTGTTATGCAAAAAACCCAGCAATAAAGCCTCCAGTGTATATGATTTGATTAGGACATGAGTGACACTGTACTGCATTATTCTCAAATGGCTCTAAACCTCACAGCAATCAGGAAATAAACAGACTCATCAACATACTGAATTTCATGCCTCAAAAACTGTATCCATTTGTTGCCACGCTAACGAGCCATATTTGAAAGGCTTCCTTTCTAGAAGGAACCCCAAGAGATTGGGGACGAGATCCGTGGATGTGAATCTGTCCCTACTGATTTCCTCCTGGATTCAATCTGGACAGAGAGGCCACTGAATGCAGAATGACAGAAGTGGCTTCAACATTCAAATAGGCTTTATAACTAAACTCTTTAGTGCTGCTTTGGCCTTAAATGTGTGAGATTTTGCTTCAATCTGATTCATCTTTAAACCAAATACATCTCTTGCTGTCTGTGGAAGATACCCATTTAAATAGGTAGCTCACCCTAAGCAGGACTCTGCGCTGCGTAACTTGCCCCTCTCTATCTGCAGTATGCCAGGATCCAGACTATGGCCAAGTAATTCAGAAGGCAGCTGTGAGTCTGAAGCTCTGCAGAAGATGCTGTTCCGATGGTGCTTCTCCCCTCAGCTGCCATTTTATTGCTACGTAAAGACACATGTACAAATTTGCCTTAATTATATCCAAGGTTTTTGGTGAAATCACTGCAAGGCTCATGAAAGTGTATTTTCTTCCATTAAAACTATAAATCCGCAGGCTAAGGATCATCTTATTCTCTTTAACACAGCTGGTGCTTTATGAATTTTAATGGATTTATTCTCCTGATGTGCAGTACTTGTGTGGGGTTGGCAAGGACCATTTTCCTTTCTTACAACTCAAGAATCAAGACATATAGAAACAAAATTACCTCTCTGAGGATTGTTCAGATAAATCTGTGCTGCCAGAGGAAATATTCCCAGTTTATACAAGACCTAGTGGGGGTCTTGTTCTAGGAATGTGGCTTTTGGGACACATCAATGAAAGTAATAGCAATGAATCAACACACATCTTTACCTTCTTTTTCCTATGTGAATTCTTAATTTGTACTATATCCCCCAAAATAAGAGTGATTTTTAGTAGCTTTTTATGAGTCAAAAAATAAAGAAAGGCAAGTTACCGATGCTGAAAATAACTCAGACTTTGAGTGTTTTAGTCAAAAGGACAAAAAAGGGTTTACTTACAGGAATAATGTTCAGTTTAAAGCAAAGGATTTGTTTAATTCTGCCACATATACTCACCTGACAAGCAGAACAGAAAAAGTCTATAATTTGGTGATGAACATTTGTAAAACAGGATACATGATTCAGGACCCCGCTGTTAATGTTACTAGTTAATATATCTACCACATTCTGTTGCCATTATCAAACTACCATTGATTTAGACAGGTGAACCCTGCTGCAGTTTAAATTATGCCACTTGCATTTGTCACCAAGGAAAACAAAATTTGGCTTGTGAGATAACAATAAAAAAGTAAACACCATAAATATTTACATGAGGAAGTAAATCCCAGCCAAAATGGGGGTTCCCCCTCCTCTTTTATGTAAGTCTGACTGTATGTGTAAATCTGGGCACCAGCAAGTACAGGGTTCACACACTTCTTCAGTTTTCCTCAAGTTTAACCAGACAGCATGACATCCCAGGCTTATCCCATTCAAAAGCTCCAAATAAAACAATTCAGTGAATAGAGCCAGGATCAAATCATGCCTTAAACCATGACACAGAAATGTGTACATTTCTGAAGTTTACTGGAAGGATAAGTCAGAGCATTTTATCACTGAATATTCCAGATTGCATCTAATTTAATAGGAGGTACCAGGGAGCTCAATCTGTCTTAACAGAGGGCTGGGGGTGGGGGGGAAGGTATAACATTAACAGAAGAGGATATAAACAGTAGAGAGGATTTATGTTTTCATGGGAATCCTGAGATCTTTCAAAAATGATTTCCATTCCCTCTTTTCAAGTTATATTCTACTTTATTGAAATTGTGTTGGAAATAGGGCAGGAGAAACCAAATATCTGCTGTAGTTTGGAGAACATCCAGGCTGGGCAGAACCAGAAATCACACTTTAAAGTTTACAGCTGAACACTGAGTTGTATATACGTGCAATAAGATATTTAAGAGTGCATTAAATGATTTTGGGTTTAAACTATGAA